GTTGTTTTTTTAACAACACGAAACTTTGTAGAAAAATATTTTCAAAAACATTAATACTTTTTGGAATAATAAGTGGTTCATGATAAAAGAATCACCCTGTATATAACAAGAAATAAGAAACACGTCAATTTTTTTCTCCAAATATTTAAAACGTGTAAAATTATAAATTTTTATATTTTCGTAAAAATCAAATATATTAGAGTTTACTCGTTGCCTTCTATTAAATACGTCACTGGTCAGCCGATAGCTAGTATATGATTGATTATACCGCAAACACATCCCGAGGCATAAGTTTTAATTTCAATTTTGACTTATCCAAGTAAACTAACTGCAGTATAGGTAGAATATATATACATACACGTATAAATGTATAATTTTATTAAATGTCAAACATACCGCTGAGGCCTGCAGTGWGTTTTACGAAACGTACAACAATCAGCCGGGTGATATTGATCGTCGGGCTAGCTGTAGTGAGTGTGTGTGTGTGGGTCGCGCGCGTGTTGTTATTATATTTCGCATCCAATTTTCTGTCACGTCGGCAGAATATAATAATAATAATAATAATAATAATAATATTAATGATAACAATAATGATAATGATAACATACGAAATTATAACGGAGCTACTTCCTCAACGCCGATTGTTGGACACGCGAGTTTTTTCCCTCGGCGTCGTGTGACAATGAATTTTTTACACTAGGACGGTTCATTAATTTTCCTAGCTCACACACGCGTATAATTTATGTGTGTGCGTGTTTATAATAGAATATATATATAGGGTCACAAAATCGACCCTTCGTTATGTTTTCGACAGTTCTTTTCCTGTGTGTGCGTGTGCAACGATGGCAGGTATATAACGTCGTCGAATTAGCCGGATTATTATTATTGTTATTATTATATAGCAAGTACCTTCGGGTAAWTTCGCGTTTGAAGTTTTATGATGTCAACGGTGTGCTAGTTTGGAATTTATATTTATTACATTTCAATGTGTAGAAAATTTGTACGGTAATACATATAGATACCTATTTAATTTGAAAAATGCGAACCCAATAAAATAATCAGTGCTGGATTTAGCGTCAGGCAAAGTAGGCAGTTGCCTAGGGCGGCAATTTTAGGCCAATATTTTATTGAAAATATACTCTAGGTTTCTTTTTGACTTTCTTATGTACGGTGATTACTTTGAAGGATGGAAAATGAAAATGTTTAATATTTGTATAACATAATATTCTTGTTATTATAATTTCTTCATTATTTCATAATACTAATACATAACAATAAACGTCCAAGTAAATAATCGAACGACTGCCGGAACGTATATTATCTATTATCTAAATACTAACCATAGATTACATATTTCGTTATTTTGTTTTTTTACTAAGTCGTAATTGGGCGGCAAAAAAAAAATTGTCTAGGGGCGGCAATTGTGTAAATCCGTCTCTGAAAATAATATCCATTTTTTAAATTATTKTAGTGGATTATTAATTAATATCAATTCATCATCAATAGACAGCCGATCCGGTAAAAGATTAAAGCATACAAAATAATAACTATATATTTTATGAATAAATCATAAATCTTTATGGCTACAACTTACAATACAATTATTTTTACCTAGGTAAATGTAAAAATTATGAATGGTGGGTCGTGGGTTCATATTAATTTAAAAGAGCAATGAACTCGGGGTCATTCATTTTTATTTGAAAAGTTTTAATTTAGATTTTTTTTAGAGGGGACGAAATTACGAAAATAAATTAGAGTATAATCTGATAAAATTGAAAATTGAAAGTAAACTGTACAGTTAAAAGTGGTCGTTTGGTCGTATGAAATAATAACAGTATCGTGTATTTTTTAATATAAAATATACATAACACTAAAAACACATTCTTATCATAAATTATTTTTAACGTCTATTTAAATTTAATTGTTTGCCCTCTGAGTTGATGAAATTAATACATAACAATGCCSGAGTTTCAATAATAGTTTCAAAAGCGGAAACGGAAATTTAATTATCTGCTAAATGGAAAACTATTTTACCCAATAGTTATTTGTATTTTAGTTTAAGACGTACTAAACTCTACCAAGTATTTGATAAATAATAAATATTTAGTTGTATGTTTTTGATTATTATGAGTTATGACTTATGACCTATATCAAACGTTATAAYGTATCGTGTTCTATTTATGTGGTGTGGTAGATGGACTTGTCTGATTTAACGTTACTTGTGCACGTTTTAATCGTTTGTATGTCATATAAAATGTTATTATGACCAATCAACAATGTATTCCCTAATATTTAAACACCCGCGAATATCCAAGAGATACTCATCAAATGTGTATTGTTAAAATAATTATTTGTCTTAAGTTCATTGTTAAATTATTATGTATAACCTCCTCTTGATTCAATAATAAATATAATCGTTACTTATAATTTTTTTTTTTAGGTCTTATATTTTGTATTAAATACATAAATATATTTGTTTCATTTAATTTTAATGAACTTTTCTTTTCTGCAAACGACACAATGTTAAATTGAAGAACTTTGAGATTAAATGATGCCGATAATATATATTTCTCACCAAACAAATATATTTTTTTATRAAAATATAAAACCTTTGTTGAAAAAAAATATAAAATTTAATTTTAAAATGTTAAGCTATATATTTTTCCATATTATATAATAATACTTCGTACCTGCTACCTATTATTTAGGCAACGATGCATCGATAAAAATATATAGATTATAACTTATTATAGCTATATATATTGTATACATATTATTTTTACAAGTTCAAACTTTTAGCACCATAAACTATGAAAATCATTTATGGTAAATATAGTTTTTAAAAACTATATTATTGAAGGATTATCTCAAAACGTAGGTACAATAGCTATATATTATGCAAAATAAATCGTTGAATTTTTCGACCCCGAGTTCATTAATAATTCCTTACACATGAGATATTCAGTTTAAATTTATGGCAAAAACCTTCGGGCTATTTACTTTATATACTCAAACTTTGAACTTCGCATATTATCATATAGGAAGCATAAGAGAGGAAATACGAAATGGGAAGGGGGATAGGTTAACGAGAGTTAAAGATTTCAACCGAGTTTCTCTAGGGGAACGTTTAAACTTTAAACCTGTAACGACAGACATTTACCATGCATGTGTATTATATGTTAAAGGTTAGGTCTTTAAGGACTGTTTATATAAATATAYGCGCTTGGCCTTTTAAGTTATTCGAGTATAATGTACACTTCATGTATATATATTATACATGCTTACCAATTTTTCGGAGACTGGTTCAGCTATACATAAGCTCACGAGAGTGATTATACCAATTCCCAGGTAACTGTACACTGTTAGGTACACGAAATCTGTAGTAAAATGGAAAAATGTAACAGATATTTCGGCGAACACTGGTACAATACTTCCAATAGAAAGAATCTATAAAAATAAAAATAAATAAACCATTATTATACATATATGTTTTAGATATTCGTAAACATTTTTAAAATTTTTTCTTGACTCTTGTTTGATTAAAAATAAGATTTGTTAATATATGAATACTAATAATAGGAAATAACGGTAAAATTTATATTGGACGTGCATTGCAATTGTTCAGAGCCGTAATGAATAAATAAAATTAATTTATAGATACCTTGATTAGTTGTAACTATACCTATACAGGCTATACATAAATGCTAGTTCTAAGCTATCGTTGTCAACATWATGTTTATTTGACGATAGATCTACTTAAAAAATGATGAGAACTTTTTTTTACATTATTTTTTAGACATTAGACCTAAAGAATTTTCATAACTACCATAAATARATAAACCTTGAACTATTTATTTTCTATACAATTTTTATACGTTTAACTGGTATCAATATGTTTTTTATCAGGTCCTTCTGTTAAACCGTGTATACAAGTTCGGATTATGATCTCGAGCGGCCCAGGGGTCAGATATATGGTATATATATCATAAATGTAAAAAAATTCTTACAACGATATGGTGAATGATTTATGGTTCTAATACTAGTATACATGCCCACCGCATACAATTGTGCTTTTACTTTTTACCCGAGTCCTATATATAATCTATATCTCAAAATATAATAATGCTATACGTAATTGAATAAAACCTAACTGTACAATAAAATATAACTTTAACTGTGCATCATATAAGTATTTACTGATAATCGTAACTATAAATTTCGATTAATTTTAAAATATTTATTATTTTCAAACTTAACTTTCAGTTTTTGATTTTTTTTTTTTTGTATACAAGTTTCTATTTTGTGTTTTTATTAAAAAGTTTTTCATATTCTGATCCGTATTACAGATTCTGTATAACTTGGTGTTGTATAACTTGGTGTTCTTTCACTATTAAATATTGACTACCATGATTAAAAAAAATGTTACACCAACCATTTCGTAAGTATATTTTGCGAATTTTGAATTAAATCTAATAAAATTTTGAATTTTTTATTTAAAGAAATTTCGTTTTATGTACCTATAATACTATAACTTTTATTTGTAAATCACACATTATAATTTTATAAACCAAATTTTAACATTTTAACAATTGTAAATTTAAATAGATTTTACAATTATATAGGTCAGTCCTAAATTTAACAAGTCCTACTGGAATATACATATCGAGTTATTTATATGTATACAATTTTTTAGACTACMATGAAAGTTAAATTGTATTGTTTTTACACTATAATAAGTACAAAGRCCGATTTATACACTTAGCGTTAACATTTTAAGCTGAAAAGACAATACGTAGCCTTTATATATTACAAACGTAAATCTCATTGACATACCGCCACCTCCCCTCGATATTTGGACATTGTACCTACCTGATAATATACAGCTATACAATATCGTTATAAATATATTGTATAATTACTAAACCTACTATATTTTTCAATACAACAGCCAATCGATCATTGACTTACCACATASTATCTTAAACAATAAAAAATCAATTGAAGATATCTATACAATTTTCATGAATTTCAATTTAAAATAAAAACCCTTTTATCATTATGATCTACTATCTTAATGAGTAATTTTAATTTTATCCATATTTGTCATTTGACCATTAGAAATCGTTAATAACAATCGAATAGGTATTTGAATGTATATTTTGGCTGTTATTGAATTTGTATGTTGTATCTTAATACATACATAACTTTTCTATAAAAATCTTTTTAATACGGTACCTATTTTACCTACGCGAAACTCAGAGAAAATATAACAAATAACATATAACATGTAAACTATATTACATTGTTATTTTGTATATGTTTATGCTTAATGTTTAATAGGTATATATTAAACTTATCTACTTTTGAACACTATATAATAGTGTTCAAAATATACACATTAAGAAATAAATATTATTAATGTACCTATATCCAGTAATTATTCACACAATGGTGCAACTTTACAATACACACATGTATTATTGTGAATATCGTTGTATTTTTTAATTAGGCAAGCTAGACAATATTATCATCATTCATCACGATAATTATTACATTTTAAGTGCAAAGGTTTTGTTTGATTTTAAACATTGAATGTTACTTTATTATTTGAGTTATTACTTATTTGCAAGAAAATTATAACTTATAGTGGGGCTATTCAATTATGGAACCAATTTTACCAATCTGTAAGCGTACAACAAAAATAGATTATGATAAAGTATAATAGTATTGTATTATTGTTAGTATTGGTAACTAGATTAATGAAGACAAGATTCGAATGAATCGAATGACATTGTAAAAATATTTTTTTCAATATAGAATCACATGACTCTTGCAACGACGATAATAAAATAACTATGGCCATAAACACAGACCATACATTAGTCGTTGTCCTATCTAAGTACAAACTGTTTGGTATCTATTTCATTATTTAGGTGCGGATAATTATCAATAAAATATTTAAATTTAATGTCCCATGGATATTTAATCGATAGATGGAATTATTTAATTCTTATACGTATTCTAAACTATGAATTTATTCAATACCTACTGTCTATACGTGTTAACCTATTCAGGTACCTAATACAATATGAATCTGTACAAATTATCACATGTATAGACTTTTCGAGGATTCATATCACGTATATAATTATTACAAGATAATTTTAAACCTTTCATATTTTCATATGTATTTAAGTATATCATGTTACTAAAATAATAGATACCTACTGAATATTTATTTGTGTTAATTAATTCACTTATCAATTTAAATAACATTATACAATAATATATAATGAATGGTATTGGTATATGTATTACGTATATGTTAATAATCGTTAATTAATAATTAGATACCTATAATTGCGTTCAATTTCAAGTTGTAAATATAAATTATATAAACAAATTATAAATTATTGTTACCTATATGCTGAAACGACGAAGCATATCACAATATCACACTATCACACTAGTATWGAGTAGCAGCTCCGGTACTTTTACACCAGGTGGGCCAAGCTGAGGCCAGCATTTTTTTAGGGAGGAAAACATTTTTACTCGACATTTATTATAATTCCCAAAACACATCCAATAATAAGCACGCCATTAATTGTGGTATAATGATATAAACGGTATAACTCTATTGAATATAACGATCATATTTAAATTAAAAGTAAATATTATGTTTTTTAATAATAATTCAAATATAGAACAAATACGCAGTTAGCATTCATTTTTAATAAACAAAACAACATAATTAATGCAATATTTAAATCAAAAACATATTTAAGTTTAAATTAATAAAATGAAGCACTAATATGAATTAGATTAAATTGCATTATACAAATTAATTGAAAATAATAATAAAATCGACAGGGCCATAATATAACGATTGTCATTAACTAAAGCATTTAAAAATAAATCATTTTTTAAATAATATCCATGTACAAATTATTTTAACAATATTATTATTTTATTTATATGATAGGTATTCATCAAAATTATTTAAATTAWMGTCAGTATTAGTACAGTTTTAGTATAGTGCTTAGTATGAGTAGTAGAAGAGAGTAGAGGTACTTAGAGTTCAGATAGTATAGCATTATGTACATATAGCATAGGAAAATTTTAGTTAAACCAGATAGATTATCGTGGAGCATATAGAATTATATTTATAATTGCTAATCTCTCAAGTATGTTTTTATCCTCTTCATACACGAAGCAGAAGAAACAGCCAACAGGTACTGTAGTTACACTATACATTTCAGAATTTAATTTCTCTGGCATTTAGACGCTGGTAAAAACGGGTCTATTTATGAAACTCGAATACATAGTTTTCAACTAGATTAACCCGATGTTTACAAACATATACATTAAAATATATTCATCATGTTATAATATTTTGATATATTTCACGAGGAAATTTCAATGTCCAATTACAATTGATTTTAAAACTATAAAAACTGAATGAATCCAATGTTGTTTAAATTTTATGGTTGGCTACTGGAGTATTATAATATCAACTATCGAATAATATTATACAATATTTTAAAAATAAATCAAAGAAAATTACATTATTCATTATAGCATTAAGACAATTGTCGTATAACAAAAAAATAGAGTTGAAATATTAATTTGATCAAATCATATATGTAAACATTTTTTTTTAAATGCAATACTCACTACTTGTGCCAGTTTAAGACGAAATATTATAGATTGGATTAACGAAGTCATGATTTAATTTAAATTATTTTAATATTAAATATGTACTAACAAATATTACAATGTACAGTATACAATATTATTCTTCACTAAAGCAATATAGTTAACGACTAATGAGTGGTATAAAACTAGTACTCCGCCGATGCTCACATATTACTTATCTGTCATTTATGGGCGAGGTTGGAGACTATATAGTTAGGTTACCATAATGGCATAATGTATTATAACGGTTATAGTAAATATGATAAATTTAAATGTATATCATCGTTCAAATTATAAAAAATAAGTGACTCATATCAAATCACTTAAATGATTTATAGTTTTAAGAAAATTGTAGCAATACATAATATGTACTATCAACTTCAAATTTAGATATTGTTCGAATTATCAGAATTTTTACTGTCGATCAACTATACAATTAAGTYGAATCACGCACGCGCATTGTAATAGCCTGCAATAGGTATAACTTCTAAAATGTTTTGATCAATAAATTAATTAATGTGAATGGCGTGTAGTCATATGCGATACATGCTGATCGTTCGATATTGAGTTGACAAAGCTTAACAAGACTTAAGTATGATACCATAACAGAAATCCATCACATAAATCACCAAATATTAGACATGGTGAATGACAAGAGTGATTCATGTATGAATTGATTAAAGTAAATGTAGATGGTGATGTTGAGTGTTGTGAACACAATAACTAAAACTAAATAATTTCACATCTGCAATGTTGGCGTTTAATATGATATGTATTGTTATATGTTCTACATTCTATAAGAATTTTCGTTGATTCGGAGGTAACGTTACCTATAATACACATAAGTGGATGATATTACCATTATTACGTAATACAAACTACATCGACGTTGATAAGCTAAGTAAATATTGCATATATATCAATCTACAATCTACTGGATGATTCATAATGTCTAAGGCATTTCTATGCGAGTTGATTTTAAGCTACATATTTCTGTGATGAATTAATTCAATACTTGCCACTTATAATTTTATATGCTTGCTTATTAGACATTCTTTAAAAATTAATGATTATTAAAACATTTCAATGAATTATTTTTAAATACTATTTACATACTCTTATGTATATTTTACTGTGAATGTCCGCAATTGGTGAATRATAACTGCTAACAGTCACCAGGTGAATGTTAACAATTTAACATACACCTAATAAATTGGTGAATGTTGAAAAATTAAAATAATACAGACATTTACAAATGGATGTTGACATTTATGTTAGGATTTTGGTCAATGATGATATACACAGCAAGGTTTTGGTTAATGTTGACATAGGTAGACACATATTCAACTATAGTATTATAGTACTATAGTTGAATATATCATAATATATAATATATCATAAAATAGAAACAACATATTATGTTTAATTAAATCAAAAAAATRTTATTATCATCAAACAATATTATATACTATATTATATTTGTATTATTACTATTATATAAAGTTTTTAAATTATGATTATTTTATATTATTACTTAMTACAGCATGACAAACTGTCATGACAATGTGACCAATGTGTACTACATAAAACGCCAACATTTCTACAGCTACACTTTTTTGTAGTACACATTGTTTTACAGTTACATCTTGTATATCCTTGCCCACCAGTTAATGAATTTGATGTAGAAGCTTCCTTTAAGGAAATTTGTTGACCCCTTTCTACATCAGTGATTGATAATAAATTTTCTTTACACACCGAAAATTGATTGCTGGTGTATTATCGATTTATAACATCATTTTTAAGTAGGTGCTAGATAGTAGATACTAGAAAGTATATGTAATAAAACATTTTATCAAAATTATTAATTTGTACAATACCTTATACTGCAGCGTAGGAACTAGATAATATAAGATACTGTTTTTTAATTGTGGCCTTTCCATTATTCCTAAATTAAATTAAATAACATCGGCACTACCAACATTCACCAATATCGTTGTATAAATATCGACATTCACTAGTGAACGTTTACTAAAATCGCAAATGTAATCAATAAGCAAAAATTCACCAATGATTTTGGTGTACGGCGATATTAACCGGTGCGCGGTGACTGTCAGTATTCATCCAACTGCGGACATTCACAGTAACATATATATCAACAAATATTCGGAACACAGCAATAAATTAGAGATGCGTCCTTTAAAACTGACAAATGTATTTCTAATAGRCTCGCGTATTCAACCACAATATGTATTATTTATTATGCTATGTACTATATGTAGACCATATATGTAACAAAATATGATACACCATCATATTAATATTAAGTTAATAAATAATTCAAAATATATAATAGGTACATGATATGGTGGTATAGTAGATACCATATCCTTAAATGCAAACATTTTACAATTTAATTTTAATGGTTAGCCTATATTCAACTGTTTATTTATAATTAATCGTTCATTATTTTATTATGATTTTATCTCAATAGCTTATTGTTATTTATTTAACAATATTAAATAGTAAAATAAAATATACTATAATAGTAAACATTTTGTATACAAATAAACGTATTAATATAATATTATTTATTGCCTCATAAATGTATTGTTTTACCACAAAATACAAAACGAAACAATCGAGCTTTAACCATGGTTAGTGCACATGCCATTTATGTGAACTTTATTTATTGATTCAATCCTTCACTATACTGAAACAAAATTCAATTGGTATATTAAACTTTATAATTCGTTTTCACAATCAGTGTATTGATAAAATGTTTTGGTTTGGAAAATGAAAAATATACAATACTCACTAAACAAATAAGCTACTATCAAATAATACACAAGTCGGAGTGTTTATCAACACTTTGTGCAGTAATTTGTTCCAACGAAATTAATGTATTTTATTGTTTTACAGAATTACAACGAGCTATTGACTGGCTTACTTTACAGAGGGGCAAAGACTGGGGATGGGGAACCGGGACGGACACTGCTCAGGCCATCGTGGCCATGGAAATGACTAAGACCGGAGGACTTCTAGAACGGGAACTGAGTGCCAAACAACTCGAAATAGAACTTTTGGCCAGACTATGGCAACATCACGATCCAGATTCGGTTACCCTTCAACAACAAGACGACGAAGACGAAGCGTTAACTGTAGCTAACATAGCGACGTACTCAATGGCGTTGGCTAGTGCTTGTCATGATCCAAGACAGTTCCATGGACACGATTTGATTGGTAAAAAGTTTTTACTAAAATCTATAAATTAATGACGATAGGCGGTTAAACAAAAATTGAAATCGTATCACCGAATTTAAATGTTTAATTTACAGGTTCGTTGCTACAACACGAAACTATATCCGATCTGGATTTCTCGTATAGCTCCCTGGTGGCATGTGAATCGGGTACGCACGTCAGAAAAAGGCACATTAGAAGGCTGATGGAGATAGCCAACACTAAGCACACAGTGGGTCAGTTACAATACAATGGATTAGAAAAACAATAACTTACTATAATGTCTTTTGTTTAAAGGTTTAGTAGCCGTATACTAAAATATATCCATAGAATAATAATTAATAATATTTATTAAGAGGACGTGATACCCGCATGTGGTGTCTCCGTCTTACAAGTGCATTATATGGTAAATTTTACGTTCAGCAGAAAACGTGTAGCTCCGTTAGCTTCAAAATTAGAGTGAACTTGACCTCTTATAAAATTTAAAGGTAAGATTATTATCTGGACAACCTCATATGATTTTTATTAAATAATAAATATTAAATTTAAAGCGAGTTATGAGTATYTTAAAATTGTAAATTTTTTGTGCATCTTAAAATACTCATAACTTGCTTTAAAATTTAAATATAATAAAAAGCGTATGAGGTTGTCTAGATAACAATCATACCTTCAAATTTTATAGGAGCTCAGTTCACTCTAATTTTTAAGCTAACGGAGCTACTGTTCTGCTGAACGTAAAATTTACTATAATATAATGCACTTGTAAGACGGAGACGACACATGCGGGTATCACGTCCTCGTAATATATGTGTGCATTTCTCAATATTTAGCTTAAACAATATAATATACTATTATATATAAATACATTGAATTCGATATTTAATCAATTGCGACATCTAAATAACTAACCACATTTAGGTTATAGTAATTAATGTAAAGACTGCTATCGACGAATAATAAGAATAAAAATAAATTACAAGTATAAATGGTATAACACAAATAATAATCTTAGGTACCTAAACAAATCAATTTGTACGAAATAATGTATAAATCAAAATACAAAATATTTGAAATGACCAATGTTTATGGTGTATACATTAATTTAGTAATGTTATTATTTATAAGAATTTCATATTTATGTTAGTACGCCTACCTAGGCTATCTATATTTAATATTTATACTTGACACTGCAGGCGATCAATTTCATCACTGTAAATTCATTATCGTTATTGTAACCCAACCCGACATATAGTAATATCTATATTCTATAACATCATTTTTACTATAAACATTTTGTGAAATGAATACTTCATATTTGATATTATTATTATTATGAATTTTAATAGAAATAAGGCTACATATCTATTTCCTATACAAACGAATAACGTTTATCTATATTTTCAGATTCATTGAGTGTGGCCATATTAGCGCTCCAGTGCGTGGAACACGATCATCGCAACCGGAACGTGAAACCGTTACTCAAGAAACCATTAGCGACATTAATAGCGCTTCAACAGCTGGACGGAGGATTTGGTAGTCTTCACACGACTGCACTTGCAATTCGAGTGGGTACCATAAATAAAAATCTATAAATTTCATCGTTCCAGTAGTAGATGCAGATTTTGATCACGTATGTGTGTGTGTGTGTAGAGGAGAGTGTTGAAATATATCTATCACAAAATATTATGCTCCTAAAAAGTGAAATTTGAAAAACTAATCATTTTTTTTTATCGGCATATGTTTGGTAAAAATACATGAAAAGTGTCGCCTTATTATTATTAGCCTTGTGGTCTCCCGTACTAAATTACAATTATGATTTAGATATTTTTTAGCTATTATATAAACAATTAACAAATCAATGCAATAAAAAAAAAATCATGTGGAAGAAAAGT